GGAATGCCCAGCGCCTGGCAAGCTCAGCGAGCCCCACTGTGCTTAGGAGACAGCGCTCCTGTATAGCCTCTGGGGCAAGAAAGAGAGACAAGAAGAATGAGCACACTTGGCGATCTGGGCCTCTTTCCTCCATCTCTTTTCTCTGTGTCTGTCCCTCTTCCCCCTCCCTCCACCCCTTCAACCTGTTCTCTGCTCCACCTGAGAAGAACAAGGATGAAGAGAGCGTCCTCAGTTAGCATGAGGCAAATCGGCTAGAAAATGCAACACTTGGAAGAGTTAAATGCTGTTCAGTTAAAATTTCAAGCCGAGGCTTTTGCTGCAAGTGGCCCTATATGACAACAGTGCATTTTCAGACATGGTACTTTCATCATATTTGCAACTCTCCTCTCTTCTCCTTCTAACACCCTCTCCCCAAAAAGGGGGGCAGAAATTTCCTGGGCTCCATCAATGGCCACATCTTTTCTGGACTCAGCAGTCTCCTCGATTCCATGTAGAGTGTGACAAGGAGCTGCTGATTGCATTTCCTCTCATTAACAATTAGATGTGTAATAAAAAGCATTGTACTTCATCCTAAATCACGGTAAGGCTCAGCCCACAGAAAGGCTTGAAATGGCCGGAGCCAGTCGCTTGGTACGTTCTGCATAATTTCACGTCTCAGATTTCCTCATCGGGGCCTGTGAGCACCCAGGCACCTGTATCTTTGCCAAGACCACCCATCAGAGTAGCTTAAGAGGTGGTCGGGATTAAAAGTTCATTTCTTTTTTATTTAGGCCAGTAAATACCATTTCCAAAAATCAAGCTAGTCTTCTCAACCTTGCACTGGAGACCCTTCCTTCTGCTTTTCCCAAACCTGGTATTTTCAAAGGGCAAAGCTGCCAGAGAGCGCAGATCAGGGTGAAGTTTGGCACACAGGGTTTATTACTGGGGCAGAAACTGCCTTCGCTTTCCTTTTCTTCCTCTTCCTGGTCATATGTTACTCTCCACTCTCCCCAACCAATAACTCTAGGAGTTAGTTAATAACATAAACAAATGGACCTCAGCAAGGGCCAGGCTGACCCGGCCACTTGGAAGGCAGCTGTGTGGGATTCAGGTGCAGGCACCTGTGGCACCCAACCTGGGAGCACAGGGAATACGACCAGCGTGGGGGTGGGAGTGGGCCAGCGCCAGCCATTCCTGGTGGCCTGGGCACACCCATCAAAAGCCCGAGGCCACAGTACAGTCTCACGTTTCCCTTGGAAGCTGAGCTGTCTGGCCTGTTGTTTCCATTCCTGATCAAAGCAGTTGAGCAAAAGAAAGCCCCTGTTTAACCGGCAGCTGTAAAAACAGCGGAATGGGAGCCAGTTGCAAGTAACCTCAAAGCTCGGCCCCGGTTAGTTCAGCCAAAGGGGAGGCAAGAGAAAGCCGTCTCCCCTCCGATTTGTAAAAAGGTGTCCGCTTCCTAAAACGTACCCAGACTGAACGTCGTTATTACAGATTAAGGGGCAGGTTATGCATATGCATTTTTCCTGCTTTATGAGTGCTTTTAAGCTTTTAGTTCCAGGTTATATTCAGAAAGTATTTCCCAGTGTAATGATGTCATTGCCTAGGAAATATTTTTTGAGAATAATTCCTTTCCCAACTACCCCTTCTACAGAGAAATGTTTTCTATCTAGTCGCTTCTCATGGTTCCTTGTCCATTGTGTTGACTATTAATGCCGTTTTGATTGGTTGAGGGTTTTGCTACAGATGAGGCACAAGACCATCAGCCTGAAAGACACATAGCTGGGGCATTAAAGAGGCATGGATTTTAAGCTGTTTAAAAATATTGTCCAATAGCCATAACTTTACTAGCCCTTCTGTTATATGCTGCTGTTCTAAAGTGAGAGCTGTTGAATATTCATTGGTGCACGGGTTTTCCTTTCCCATCGAAGTTCACTTGAAGGTAGATCGTTTTTAAGACTGTGCTGAAGCCCGTCCAGTACATCAGAAGTGATATCGAGGCGGGCCCTTCAGCCTGGAGCAGTTAGCTCTGTCGAGGAGATTCCCCAGGTTGTCCTCTGCTCTGAGGGAAATGGGAATGAAGTTAAGTGGTCTGAAAAACTTGAGTCAGTCACATTTCTCAGCTCGGGGGTCATTTACCAGTTCATTGTAGAAGAAATAATCAGGTAAGTAAAAGTTCATTTCCAGAGAAAGTAAACCCCACTTACCATCTCTGCATGATTTCAGTGGGAATTGATTATCACTAATCCCCAACTGGGCTAGAATAAATGTAAAGTTTGACCTTTTTAAAAAAGAGAAACAAAGAAAGTCTCAACACATTTAAAGAAATGGTAGAAAAGGAGCGGAAGGTGTCTCTGGGCTCGGAAATGAAATGTCTCCGTTGTAGATCAGTCTCTTCTCACTAAAATTCCAATGTGGTTTGAAAGAAATGTTCCTTAAAGACAGGAGGAAGCCCCTTCCAAGGTGGGCAAGGAGTGTGCGCTCACACCTGCACCTGGAGCTCTGGGCACGTGGGAGCTCCGCTCACACTGGGCTGCTTGGACAACACCAGCATGCCTTGCACGTGTGTGTCTTTCCACCGCTGAGAACATCCTTTCACTCTCTTATGTGCAGTCTGAAAGCAGGTGTGGATTGTGGATGGGAAGCCTTTTACCCTGTCCCTTGGCAAAATCCTGGTGACTCTTTGCCAGAAACTCTAGAGACAGGGCCTCTCTGGAACTCTGTTGACAGATAATCAAGCCTGGCCCTCATCACTTGTTTCTGAACTGGAAAAGACCCGGGGACCCCTAAACCATTCTGCGTTCTGCTTGAGTAAGAAAATCCTGTTTTGTTTTGTTTTTTGTAAAATCAAAAGCTGAAGAGAAGAAAACATGCGCTCTTCTCCTGGCCGTCGCTTGGTACCCACTGGTCTGAACACGGGTTGGTGTCCTCATCTAGCCTTTGATTGTGTGTGGAAACAAAAGGCTTGGGGTGGAGGGGGTGGGGAATATTGGAAATAATAGGGCATTTTTTCTTTCCTAGAATTAAATTATATGACATTGGTATCATTGACCTTCTTGGTGTCCTCCATTTACCTTAGAAGGTAATACCTTCTTGCCCGAAGTGAGAGCAATCCAACCCAGAAGGGTGCCGGCCTGAGGGCGAGGCTGCAAGCGTGGTTATGGAGGAACCCAAGTACTTTTCCAGAGAAAAGGGGATGCTTAGCCGAAACTGGTTTGGCTCAGCGGATAGAGCGTCGGTCTGCGGACTGAAAGGTCCCAGGTTCGATTCCGGTCAAGGGCATGTACCTGGGTTGCGGGCATCTCCCCAGTGGGAGATCAGGAGGCAGCTGATCGATGTTTCTCTCTCATCGATGTTTCTAACTCTCTATCTCTCTCCCTTCCTCTCTGTAAAAAATCAATAAAATATATTTTAAAAAAAAAAAGGGGGTTGCTTAGATAGCCACCTCCTGTGACCATCACGTTCTCTGATGATCAGGTTTACTATTTGACTTAAACCCACATTTCTGATCTCCTTCCCCATTTAGATGAGTTCAGACTTTCCAGGTGCTGCAGAACATGAGAAAGTGCCCTGTTTCTCCTCCCTTTCCCTCTTCCCTCCTAGAGTAACTCTCACTTTATCATGGGCCCCAGAGCCTGCAGGTTGAGTCCTCCCTGGGCTCTATCCACACAGCCATCTCTTAGGGGAATAAGGCTGCGTTCTGCTTCTTGTTTTTACTTGTACTTCGTTTGTGACTTCCAAATTATTGGGACTGAGAAGAGAAACCAAAAGCATGATTATGGCAACCTGATTTCAAGTGGAACTTAATGCATTGATATCCTGAAACCTTTTCTCTGGAAGTTGAGTACCTATGATTAGGTACTAAAGTTTCCTGGAGGCAGATGGCATCAAACTATGTGCTCTACAGCCCACCCAGCTGGCTCTCTCAGCTCCTGATTCGTGTGTGCATGTAAGGATGAGTGTGGTAAATAGCATTATAAAGCATCACCTCCCCTCCATCCCTTCCCTTCTTGAAGGAAAAAAACGAGAAGGGTTAGGCCTCTGGGTACCAAGGAAACTAACACCTTCCCAAATCAATGATGACTCAAGCCCAACCCAGACTGTTCTGAGGGGTGTTCACTGGACTCTAACCATGGGGCAGGCCCGGCAGCCATTGTGAGCTCCCTGCGGCTTCCAGTTGGTTCCGCCCTTCGTTCTCTAGACTCTTAAGTGCTGACTGCTTTGACTCTTGTGCTCTGTTTTGGTGATGTGTAGTCAATGTACCAATATGTTCACAACCTAGAATCATGGCAATATAGTGTGTTTTGGGTTTTTTTTTTAACTGTTCAGAAAAAAGTAACTTAAATTACAAATATAAGATTAAAGTGAATTTTCCAGTGTCTTGTCTCTTTGCCCAGCGTCAGTAGGACAGTGAGTTTTTCAATATACAAGTTGGAGGAATGTGAGAAAACAACATTGAGAGGAGCCAGGACCAAATGGCGTGAATAAACATGGGACCTCTAGCATATAATTAATGTTCCATGTTGAATTAAATCGAAGCCAAACTGATGTCTAATTTGGGTACAGGTCCCCATAGCCTCCTCAGCTTACCACAACCCTACCCACACCCAGGACTGTTAAGTTCTCCTCTGGAAGACTTGTAGGTGAGCTCACTCCTCTGGAGCAGTTTTCAGAGACTCCAGCACACTGTAAAAATAAGGGGGCACCGACCATCTGGGAGAAACCCACCTGCCTTCTCTCCTGAAACCAAACCTGGGGAAGTAGGCACAAGGTTACACACCATCTCCCGCTTCTCCTCCCCTCCTGGAGTCATGACAGCATTCGCGGACTGTGAGACCACAGGGC